TTTGAATCTGTGACTTGTTTTCTCAGCTTTTTTCCAAACAAGAATACTGAGACTTGGTTTTCATTTTAATTTACAGTGTTGTGTTAGATTCAGGTGTATAGAAACTGATTTTGATGACACTTCTAGTGTGGATTAATCCTGTCTCCTGAAACAATGAGATAATTAACTGAGTGCTGCCTTCAAGGAAGACTCCAGAGAATACTGGAGGAGGTCTCGCTCAGTCTGTGTCCGACTCTTTGCGACCCGTGGAAGGTAGCCTAGGCTCCGCCATCCATGGGATTTTCCAGGCAAGAATACTGGAGTGGGCTGCCATTTCCTTCTCCAGGGGATCTTCCCAACTCAGGGATTGAACCCAGGTCTCCTGCATTGCAGACAGATGCTTTACCGCCTGAGCCACCAGGGAAACCCCCAGAGAAGAATAAATATATACAATTTTTCAAGCAGATTTAGACACTTCACTTCATGAACAGGCTTTGCTTAGGTATGTGTTTGATAATTCCCCTGTTGCCATTCACTAGAACTCAGTAACACATATAATATGTTTGGTAATCAGAGCTGATGAGTTAACATCATCTTCCTCCTCTATACAGTGAGTCTATTTCAGCAGTAATTATGAAATGGAAGGAGTATAATAATGGCCACTGCAAACAGTGAAATTGTTTGAATACATAACAGTAAAACGTGTTTAAATGACATTGTGCCAAACGAAGGCTGAGTTAGCACTTGTGTTGGGGTCGGGTTCTTTTCCCTTCCCCTTTACTTACGCTTTCTGAAGGGGGGAGCTTATGTACTTGTGGTCTGTAAAAATAGCTTTTCTCTTTTTAGAGCATCGTAAATTTCCTTTTGGCAAAAGCTTCTGAAGACTTTCTTTCAAAAATCTGATAAAATGGCCAAATCATAGCAAACACTGACATAATGCGATCTGTTGCTGTAATATGTGTCCAGTTCTTGCTGTAAATGAGGCATACACCGTCTTTGATTCCTTCTGGCAGTAGATCTAGCATCTTCTGTTGTTTCTCTAGCAGTCTTCTTTGAAATGTAGTTTTCTTCCTGTGTAAATAGTTGATGTTCTTAAAAGTTGTTAAATAGTTAACAGTTGTCTTTTTTATGGTTTCTGTGCATTGGCCTTCAAGGAGTTCTCTAAATTAACTTCTATGAAAGACACTGTTTGTTAGGGAATAAGTAAGACATACAAATTTTTAAATATATTTTATGAAATCGTACAGTAACCATGGCAATTATTTAAAACTTAGACCAACAGAAGTTAGTTTTTGTGGAGTTTTTAAAGACCTATGATAAATGTCCTTTTGGTAGTAAATCCCATCATTGGGTAATCTCAAATCATTCCTTGTTTCAAAGAGAAAAATTCTACTGTAGTTTAATCCCATTTTCTCTGAGTGAAATCCCATCATAGAGACCAGAAATCAGCAGACTTTTTCTGTAAAGGGGTAGAAGATAAGTAGTATTTTAGGTTTTGTAGGTCCAGATGCAACTGAGCAACTACATGTCTTCATGTAATCAGGAAAGCAGCCATAGACAGTATATTCACAAATGAGCATAGCTGTGTTTACAATAAAACTATTTCTAAAATTAGAAGGCTTATGTGCACACCATCATTCATAGCAGCACTGTTCACAGTAGCCAAAAAATGGGAACAGCACAAGTGCCAACCAGCAGATGGATGGGTAGACAAAATGTTACCCTGTGTCACTGGAATATTACTCGCCTGTGACAAAGAATGGAAATTTTGATACTTGCTACAACACAAGGGACCTTGAAAACATGCTTAGTGAGGCAAACCAGGCACAGACAAAGAATATATGATTCCACTTAGAAAACTTATCTGGAGTAGGCAAATTCATGAAATCAGAAAGTAGACTAGAGGTTACCACTGACTGAGGGGAAGAGGGGTTGTTGTTTAATGAGTAGCAAGTGTCTGTTGGGGATGATGAAGTTTTGGAAATAGATAGTGGTAATAGTTATGGACTTGGTGGTGGCTCAGATGGTAAAGTAACTGCCTGCAGTGCAGGAGACCCAGGTTTGATCCTTGGGTTGGGAAGATACCCCAGAGATACAGTGCAACCCACTCCAGTATTCTTACCTGGAGAATGCCATGGACAGAGGAGCCTGGTGGGCTGCAGTCCATGGGGGTCACAAAGAGTCAGACATGACTGAGTGGCTAAAGCTCAAGCTCAGTAGTTACACAACATTAGAGTATACTTGATGCTGCTCAGTTGTGAAGTTACAGATGATTCAAAATGATAAGTAATGTCTGTTTTACCAAAATAGACATAAAAATCTTGTCAGCCAAAAAAAAAAAATCTTGTCAGCCTCTACTTTAGGTTTATTTTATGCATATTTTGTATTCTAATTGTTAATTATCTGACTGTTCTCTGGGTACCCTATGTTGACTGTTGGAACCAATAACTGATCTTCAAGAAGTATAAAACATTTCCTCATTGGACTTTACTGTCACCCCAGAATTCATGTATTGAAGCCCAAATCCCTGATACAGTGTTATCAGGAGTTGAGGCCTTTAGAAAGTTACTAGGTTTGGGGGTGAAGCCTTCATGAATTGTTAGTGCTCTTACAAGAAGAGGCAGAAATTACATAATAGAATGAGACTGATGTGTATGTGAAGATACAACAAGGAGACATCTCGTGGCGAACGACGAAGATGGGACTGAAAGAGCTGGTACTTTGATCTCCAGGAATGTAAGGAACACATTTCTTTTTAAGCCACCCAGTCTGGAGTGTTCCTTAAACATTTCTTTGTTTGTTTGTTTATGGCTGCATTGGGTCTTAGTTGCAGCACATGGGGTCTTTAGTTGTAATACATGGCCTCTCTCTAGTTACGGTGCACGGACTTCCGCAGTTGTAGCGAGGGCTTAGCTGCCCCAAGGCCTGTGGGATCTTAGCTCTCCGACCAGGAGCTGAACTCATGCCCCTGCGTTGCCAGATAGATTCTCAACCACTGAACCACCAGAGAAGTCCCTAGACTATTTTTGTTACAGCAGCCTAAACTGAGACAACTTCTTCGCCAGAACATAAGTCCCATGAGGGCAGAGACCTGATTTTGTTTCTGCTGCCGAGAACAGTGCCAGGACAGTTCATATGTGTTGAACTAATACAAGGAGTGCTTGAACTCGTGATTCCGTTATGCCAAGCATCCAGCTGTCGTCCTGCCCTGGCACTCTTCCATAATTCTTATCAGTGGCTTTCTTAGAGCAGCAGTGAATCGCTTCTCAGCCTTGCTCTCTTTCTTGTATGAGAAAGATAGAAACAGGAGTGTCTCTTCATGAGAAGAAAAGTGGCTTCAGTGGGGGCAGGGGAACAGCAGGGAACAGCCTCCCTGCACCCCGTCATTCTGGTGGCAGCAGAAGGTGGATGACCTAGTCGCTGTGCCTCGGGTGGGGGGTCCGAGGGTGTGGGCATGATCACAGCCTGAGAAAAGAAGTGAAGGGATCTGGTTGGTGTCGGTAATTACGTTTCCTGTCCTTGATACTACCAGGTGACTTATAACGTACCCTCATGTAAAGAATGGGGGGAAAGGAGAAGCATTTAAAGTTTAAAACTGCTGTCTTCTGGGTTTTTCATTGTGAAACAGTTGGGTAGAGAAGCACAGGTTTTCAGTTAGCATTGAGAGTTTCGGCACGTTCTGTTTTCTGCTTTAGTCACCACAGTGGTAGGAGGCTGGGATTTTACCCTCCAGGTGCTTCACTCTAATTTGAGAGACAAGGCCAACAAAAGTTCAAAACAGCATGATTTAGAGTGTGTCAGTGTTACTGTTCGTAAATAATCCAGGAGTTCAAGGTAAAGTCTTGAGGCTGGAGTGGTGGAATCAACCAGCCCTGAGAGAATTTGCGCCAAGGAGAAGTAAAAGGCTAGGTGTGGTAAAGTGAGGCCAGACAGCATAGGACCTAGGAGGATAAATAGGGCTTGGTGTTTGGAATATAGGAGATTGATTGTGCGAGTCAGTCTTCCTTTTTTTTTTTAACTTGTTTTTAGATGTGGTGTTAAGAGGTATGAGTGGAGTTGTGCTACATTCTTTGAACACATATTTGAAAACCAACATTCCCTAGTGAATCAGACAGCAAAGAATCTGCCTGCAGTGTGGGAGACCTGGGTTTGATCGCTGGGTTGGGAAGATCCTCTGGAGAGAGGAATAGCAACCACTCCAGTATTCTTGCCTGGAGAATCCCACGGACAGAGGAGCCTGGCGGGCTACAGTCCATGGGGTCACAAAGAGTCAGACATGACTGAAGCGACTTAGCACACATGCAAACCTATATGCAGGCTCTGAGAAGGCTGTGAAGGCTACATGGGGATCAAAACTGAGAAATATCCCTGTCCTCATAGAGTTTACAATCCTAGTAGAAGTGGATAACAAAAATCACACGGCTATGATTGCACATTGTAGTCAATAAAAATTGCATGGGCAGAGGCGATGAGGTTAGGGTGCATGGTCCAAGGTACATTTGAGGAACTAAAGGCCAGTATAGCTGGAGTGAAGAAGGAGGAGCTGGAGAGGTAGGCAAGAGGCTTGCTAAGAGACGAAGGCTAGAAAGTTGAGCTTGAGTCAGCCGTGCACAGTTGGTGGCTCACAGGAAGTATGTGTTGGACGGAAAGCAGAACTCCGAGAGGGGTAGGAGGGGAAGCAGGGAAGCTGAGAGTAGCTGAAAGCTAGAGACGTGGGCGTGGGACGGAGAGAAGTGGGTGCTGAGGACTTAACTCACAATGGCCAACTCTTGCCACTAGGCTCAGAAGGAACACAGGGAAGAGTTGTTGACTTTGGCCTTGAGACTTTTGGTGACCTTCAGGCGGACAAAGGATTTTAAGAGATTGAGGGGGGAAAGACTGGCTTGAGTGGTTAAGAGATAGTGGCTATAAGTCACCCCATTTAAGAAGCTGCTAATGAAAGCACTTTTTATAGTTTTTTAAATGTGTTTGCTCACATAACTTCTTTGCTCAGCTAACACGATCCATCTTATGTTTTTCAGACGAAAAAAAAGATATCGACCATGAGACGGTGGTTGAAGAACAGATCATTGGAGAGAACTCGCCTCCCGATTATTCAGAATACATGACAGGAAAGAAACTTCCTCCAGGAGGGATACCTGGCATTGACCTCTCAGACCCCAAACAGCTAGCAGAATTTGCTAGGTAAGTTTCAAGAACTTCCCTTCCTTCTAGCTAGAGAAAGTGCTTGAGTGTTGCCAGCTGTGATTTTTGGTGCCTAAATAACAAGAGTGGTTTGTATTCTTGCTCTCGGGAAGCTTCTGAAAACAAAAGCAGGTCGCTTTTATTTTCAGTGGTAACTGCTTTTTTAAGTGGCACTGTTTTAGATTTGAATGAGATGAAGCAAATACCTACTTTTAAATTCTGTAATTGATGTTGCTTGTGAATAAACACAGTTGCACGTTTTTAATATTTTGTTTGGAAATGGATGTCTTTACACTACTTCCTGGCTTTGTCTTCATTTTAAATTTGCATGTATTGTCCTGGTCTGAAGCTGCTGGAGCCCTGGGTCTATGCTAGGTTTGTGCAGCTGACCACTAGGAAGGACTTCATCAGCTGCGATTTCAGCGTGTCATCAGTTAGGCTCCAGGTATTCTGTTGATCCTAGCTGGCCTGATAGGAGGGGTGGCATATTCAGGTCTCAGACCCTGTGTTCCACTGTGCAGGGCGAGCAGCAGGAAGGCAGGTCTGAGCCCAGTGACTGTTTCATTTGTTTTCACTGAAACCAGCCAGGTCCTTAGAGAGACCGTGGTCCCCTTTCCCATTATTTTCCAGTGCTGCTTGGCAGTTTTTATAAGGACAGGAGAAAACCCACAGAGATGTACAATTTTAAATGAAATAAACTGACAAGATCTGGAGCAGGTGGTCTCCTTTTATGTACTTGAGGCTGGATGGAGCCTGGAACAGCCCAGGAGATCGAGGCAAGGCCAGGATTGCAGGGTGAGAAGAAGTCTGTGCACACCTGCTCCCCCTCCTCTTCTGGAGAGCAGAATAGAGAAAAGCTGGAGACCCTGGGGTGTCCTGGTTTCTCCCTGCCTGCCAGAGACAAGGTGGGTGGCCTCCAGCCATTTGAAACCTCAGTTTCTCCACATGTCATGTGGGTATAAGAATCCTATTGTGCTTTGATAAGAGTCTGTACCCTTTTCTCCTTTGCAGTGAAACTGTAGTGGTAGGGAATATAAAAATTAATTTATTTCTGATTTATCACGGCTTTAAAAAAGTAAAGCCCTATCCTCTTGTTAACTGCTCTTGTCGTGTTCCAGCTCTTATTGCTGTTCATATTTTAAATATAGGTGTGTGAATTAGATAACTAAGTGCCCTGCTGTGCCCCACCCCACCCCACCCCAAAGTACAACTAAAAATGGACTCCTTAGGACACATAGTCAGCAGTGAGGCCAAGAGTTTTTGGACAGATTGAGCCAAACACCATACCTGTGTTTAACATTGTCACAGAGTTCTGAAAGTTTGCTGTAACTTTCTTGTGGTACTCAGATGTATTGAGGACATGGGCTGCTGTCCCAGGGGTAGAGAGGTGGGACAGAGTCAAGGGGAGCCCTGGGGCCGGGAGCACTTGGTTTGGGCCTTGAAGAACGTAAGAGTGCTGACAGGTGGGTGGGTGTCTGTGGGATAGGTTGCACACAGTACACATTCAGGATCCAGTACCTACTCAGAAAACAAAAAAACCAAGTTTGGCTGTGAATTAGGGTGCTTACAGGGACATGCTACCGTCATGGGGAGGCAAAGAGTCCGGGACGACCGAGCGACTGGACGACAGCAACAGAGAAGTGATTGCGTTTAGGTAAATGTAAACCAGATCATCAGAGGCTGAAAACAGGGCCAAGACATGTGCTGCTTTGTATGTAGCAGACATCTGGTGAAGGTTTTTAAGCAGCAGAGAAAGGGGACTGTGTGATCAGAGGTTTAATTGGAGAGAATTACTTTTCAGCTGTATCCAGACTGGATGGGTGCAGGTACAGCCAGGAAGTAGGAGAAGCCAGTTGAACAAGAGCTCGCGAAGGCCTGAGCCAGAGGTCAGACTGTACCTGTGAAGAAATGTGCTGAGGTGGCAGGAGATGATCTAAGGTTGAGAAGTAGCTTGATGGTCTTGGGGAGAGGGCAAAAGAGGCATGAAAATGCACATTTTGGTGTGCATTAATTTTTTTTAATGCACGTTAGAAAGCTTTGCTCCTCAGGTGATGGGAAAGTGGGAGAGGGCTTTGTGGTTCGGGCAGCAGGGTTGGTTCAGTGTCGAGAGCAGAGCACAGCCCTGCGAGAGCCAGTGGGGCTTCAGAAGGGCCGCAGGACGAAGAGTGAACGTTCCTCCAAATTACACATTGTGAAGTGGTTTTGGTGGAGGAGCAGAGGGCTGAGGCAAGGTTTTGAGAGAGGTGTGGGGCCTTTTGGGCAGCGAGCAGTAGAAATAATTAGGTGTTGAGGACCCTTTGCGTGTTCCTGTTGCTGGAGAACTGGGGCAGCCGATCTTAAAACTTGTCCCCAGTCCTCTGAAAGAAACTCCAGGATGTTTCATCTCTGAGCTCAGGAGGCACCAATGGTGAGGCCTTTCCGCCCTGTGTCAGGCCGCCTTGGACCTTACTCCTGAGCAAGAGGCCACCCACAGGGACAGGGACACCAGGTATCCATCTATTTGGGACATTTTGAATCACTGAGGATGAACCTGAAGGCTTCCAGGGAGAAAAGATAGGTCACCTACAAAAGAATGATAATTAACCCGAATGAGAATTTTCTTCAACAGCAATAGATAATTAGAAGACAGAGGAGTGGTGTTCTGAAATTTCTGAGGAAAATTATTACAACATAGGATTCTTGATCCAGCAAAAGTTATCTGTCCAACACAAGGGCAAAACAATGACAATTTCAGATGCCTAAAGGATTTGTTTTATGTTGCATGCACCCTTTCTAAAGAGGTTACTTAAGGGTGTGCTCCGGTAAAATGAGGATGAGTATCAGAGGGAAGACTTCCTAAAGAAAATCAAGAAGACAGCTATGCAGCAGACTGGAAAACTTGTTCAGTTTAGAATAGGAAGTCAGTGGGTTGTAAGAATTTCTTTAAGAAAGGTCCATTTCATTCAGCAGTAGTTGGAATGATCAAGAGGATGGAACATGGTGGCGTGAGAAAGAGTTTTCTAAAGAAGAAAAGATAATCAGAAATGTCCTGACAAGGGTGGCACGGTTAAGAAAACCATGGCCTAAAAATGGAACATTATTTTGACATTATTTAGAGAGAAGACTCATTTGACTTGACTAAGAAAATTCGCTCTTTGGTACTGAAGCTGCTGTATTGGCCTTAGAGCACAGGAAGTGTGATCCTTACACACAGTTAAATTCTTTAGTAAGCATTAGTTACATAATTACCTGAATGTGGTGTGTGTTTCTTTTCTTTTATAATCAACCAGTTAAATATTTCATTTTGTGTATGGAATAGAATGAAAATCTTGCTTCTGTTGACAACATATAGAAAGTAAAGGCATAGGATTGGGGTACTGTGCAGTCGGGCTCATCCTCACCTCCATTTTCCATACTATCTCAGGGCTTTCGAACAGATGATGTAAAACTGAATGGCTACTGGGGCAGTGGTGGTGAGAAAGAGTTGAGCCTGGGGTGCCCTGTTCCTGTTCAGGCTTCACATTTTGAGAAGAGGCCCCAGAATTGGTGACTGGGACACAGAAGCACCAAATTTCAAACTGGTTGGGGACCAGATCTCATCTTCTTGGTTTATAAAAATGCACAGAACTTGTTCTGCTGGCCTCCTTTTTCCATCCACCTCCACCATGTGAGTCAGTTCTTGGCTTAAGGAGGCATGTTAGCTGCCTTCCCCTGTTCTCCATATACTGGGGTGATGGGGTTCTGGACTGAACTCGAAACAGAGAATGCTCAGGTTCCAGCTGCACTGAGCCTAGACTGCCTAGTAAATCACTTAGTGTATGTGGACAAGTATAGGAAATAGTTATTTGGAAGTCACGGTACTGGGGAGGTGGGACTATGGTGATTTTCTTCTCTCTTGAAATGTCCTTTTAGTAAATAGTTCAAAAATGGGATAGTGGGTGGGACCTGGAGAATTGTTTCCTGGTTAAATTTGTGCATTTTTCATTAACTAATCTTAGCCCTTAGGAAACCTTCTGTCCAGGAAGATCAGAATAACCAGTGGTCAGATCTGAGTTGGTGGGGGTTTTTGTTGTGGTTTGCTGCCTCCCCCCACCCCCCCACCGAGGATTTTTCACTGGATTAATACAAAGATGTGATGGTGGAGCTGAAAGTGCCCTGAAACTCTTTAATATCTCATGAATGAATGTACATTGTCTAAGAGAGAATTGGCTTGAAAAACTGGTTCATTTGTCTTAGTTGACAAAGGGAGGTGAATTGTGCTTGCGAATGGTAGCTCTGTTACATAGGGCCCACTGTCCTGTCACCACAGATGGTTCCAGTCTGAAGAATCTCTTCTTCAGAAATCTTTCATCTTAGCTTCTAGGATATTTGCACGTTTAACTGAGTTGGAACTTTTGGTTTACTTAATACCCTGCTGAAAATTGTCCAGGAGATTCCTACAGTTTGTGGTCCTGGTATCCAGCCTTTACAGCTTTTACACAGGATGATATCCTGTGAAGTCAGCAGTGACGCCATAGACGTCATAGAGAAAACTACTAAAACTAGAGTTTTAATTGAACAGGAAACTTGTTGGCTCCCTGGCTTGTCTATAAATTTCTAATGCATGGAGGGGGCCTTTCTGCTTTACCTTTGCTATCGTTTCTCAGTCTCACAGTTCTTTAGTTGATGATGGTGGTTTGGAGGCCCTGGTACCTTCCGGGTTGAATACAACTGTGATTTTTTTTTTTTTTTTAAGGAATAAACTCATTTTTGGCTAAGCGCATTTAGCACAGGCTGGCAGTAATACTAGCCATTGTTTCTCAAGAGCTTAACATAGCATCTCTTTTTAACCTTCATAGCTCTGATTAGGTAGCTTTTCGCCTTTTTACAGAATAAGAAACTGAGGCTGAGAAGTTAAGTGATTTGCTCAAGGTCGTGCGGCACCAGTCACACATCCCATTCTGTCTCATTCATGACGCCTCTGCCGTTGTCATGTCTCCAGGTCCAAGTCAGCCGAGGAGAAGCTCAAGTCTTGTTCTTATGGCTCGTTTGGGTCGATCAAGGAGATACTCTAAGTAGAAGTATATAATTGTAGTCTTGTAAGAAAATTCATCTTTTTTAGGATTTATTTTGTAGGTTTTTTGTACTAGTTGTTGCCACAGAAATTTAGTGTTTACTCACAAAAACAGAACACTTTCATTCTAAGCATACTTGTTTGGAAAATGACCTTTTCAGTGTTTGCATTCTAATACAGTGTAAAAGGTACCAGAATAGACTGCCTCGTTTGCTGCTCTGTAGTGACGAAGAGTGACAACAAGCCTAAGAGTGGCTACAATTAAAGACCTTCACTTCCTCCTTGAGTCCAAGGGTGTTTGCCCAGATCCATTTAACACTCTCATTCAGAACTTAATTATATTGCTAAATACTAGCATACATTTTGAAAATGACATTTTTTCAAAAATGCAACTTAATAACATTCCAAAAAATCAAAAGTTGGGTGAATAGCATGTAGAATTGTTCTCTACTGTTAGGTATATTTGAAAATTTCCAGAATAAAAATTCCTAGGAATTAAAAAAATTTGTGGGGTCTGGCACCTGCTGAGGTAACTGGGCGACACCTGCTATCCTATTGACATAGGCATTTCACTACCATTGTCCCCAAGTTGGTACCCACAAAGTCAAGAGTGTTTTATTTTTGAGATAATTTGCATACAGTAAAATTCACCCTCTCTTAGGTTACTACCATTCTATGAATTTGGACAAAGACAATCATCTTCACAGCCAGGACAGCATTTGAGTGGAATCCTCAAAGAGGAAACACCTTAGTTGGGAAGGTTGAAGCTTGGTTCTTAATGTACACTTTGTTATTATAACCTCCAGGTGGCGCAGTGGCACCAGTTTTTCCCTACCTAGTTTTGTGAACTCAGATCCAGAGTCCAGGACTTAATAGTATTTAAGATAACAAAGGCTAGTTCAGAGCCCTGTAAACAACGGGCACTTAGAAAATGTTTGCTGACTGATGAGGTTATCTTCCAAGTACGAGAAAGAACAGGTAACTGCAGGGTTGGCCTGGGGAGGATACCAGACTGAAAGTATTCTCTTAGAATTCCAAGTAGGAAATGTGTATGATCTTGAACAAACTCCTTAGAGATAAGTTATAGCTAGCAGATAAAATTGTTTCACCTCTGCTCTTCCAGGGCGTGGCAGGTTTCATGAGAGGATTCCTGGAGTTGAGGTGTGACAGAGGAAGGAGTCTCTGAGCTCAGATGAAGAGTGGAGAAGGGTGGTGTTAGGGCTTTGGCCGACTGAAAGAGGACCGCTCTGCGCCTCACGGTCCTTCATCATGGGAGAGTGACGGTCAGCCAGCACTCGGGGCGTCAGCTTAGGCCGCTAAATGCTCATCCTCAGAGTTTTCCTAGAAGCTCTTATGTTCTCACCCCTCTACCACACACAGATCTGTAGGGAGTTTTGGAGAGAAAATTTTGGCAAAAGACCAAAGGTTGGTTCAGTGAAAATAGCAGGTAGGTAAGTTACCAAGTAAGCTCTGGGTAGTCACTCCACAAAAGGCTCTCCCTGACTGCCCAAGTGCTTGAAACTGTATCTCCCTCCTACCACCACCACCACAGCTAATATGATAAAAATTAAGCAGTGTGAAAAAAGGTATACATATAGATAGATAGGTAATACTTTGTTTAAAAGGACTTGTGTGTGAAAAAAGGTATATATAGATAGATAGGTAATACTTTGCTTAAAAGGACTTTTCTGTAACCCTTTAAAAATGGTCTATTATAATAAAGATAATTTCTGCCATCAAAAGATGGACACCCCCCTTTAAGATGCCCCCCATATCTTACTTAAGGAGTTGGGAAGAAGGAGCAGATAGTTAAATCACACAGATCACAGTGCCACCCTAAAGATGCACCAGCTTACTAGCGTTGAGACCGTAGGCAGCACTTCACTTGTGCCTGTGCTTAAGCATCCTTACCTGTAGGCGGGAGAGTGCTTTAGTCACAGGTCCTCTGTGAACGTGAGTCGTCTTGTCCCTTCCCCTTCACGGCAGCGTGTTGTAATCTTAGTTTTTGTACTTACAGGGAAAGCATTTTAGGGACTATATGATTTATGCCAGATGAATCTACCCATTCCTACAAATCTTTCTCTCTCTCTCTTTTTTCCCCCCTTTGGTAAGAATGAAGCCAAGAAAAATTAAAGAAGATGATGCTCCAAGAACAATAGCTTGCCCTCATAAAGTAAGTAATGCTAGGGGAAAGTGTTCATTTCTGTGAATTAAGTTGTAGAGAGCTTATAAGAAATCGCACTTTTATTTCCATCTTCATAATTGAGACTCAGTGAGGAACTAGAATCTGGGTTCTAAATTCAAGAGATCATATTTTGTGATGAAAGTTTTGTTCCTTAAAGGCCACTTAAATTTAAATACTCTTAAATGGGATTACTGTAGGGCAACAGTGTTTTTATTGTCACTATATACTGAATATACTCTGTTAGGATTTTATTTCTTCTTTTTTCTTCTTCTTTTTGAGTTGTTAAACAAGTCTAATCTGAAGACATTGGGTTGTGTCTCACCCATGGACCTTTATAGGACTGTGGGCTCCTTATGGAAATTTGATTTTGGATAGTGCTAGAGTAAGCCTATTAAGACCTCATCATTTCTGCCACAATTTTCTTAAATTTACCTGTTAGCTGTTTGTTGCTAGGGGGTACTTAATTGTTTTCAAATGTAGTTGTTATTATTAGTTTCTAAAGATAGCTTAAAAAGTACTTTGAAATACGGATTGGGTCTGTTTTAAACTTAGAGGTAACACTGACAAAATAAAAGTATCGTGTAGGTGGTACAGAAAAACGGTGAGAGGTTTTGAATGGAATAAATTTTTAAAAAACAACAATTGAAGAAGGATAGATTTAGTTTCACCGTCTCACCTCTGATGACTGTGCTCCCACAAATTTATTTTTGTCTTTTTAAAAAAATGTTGTTATTGTGGAAATTTTGAAACGTAAAGATTTGGCCTTCTGTTGAGGCCAAATAGCAATACGCATTTGAAAACAGTTTTGTCTTAAGTGCTCATCATCTCTCTACCTTCTCTGTATTTCTTTCCCAGTTAGAGTTTTCTTAAATTTCTGTTTTTGAGTGGAAACTCAGCCTAGGGATCACGGTGGAAGCTGGCTCCCCCCCACACCCCCCTTGCCTTATGAAGCTGTCCGGTGTTGACTCATGCTGTCCTTCCGTCCTGCTGTCTGGTCATTTCCCCACTTGCTCCATTGTTGGGCAACAGCTGCAGAAGAAGCGGTGTTAGGCCGCCTTCCCAGCCTGCACACCCCCTGCCCTCTCTGCTGTCTGTTTCCCTGCTGCCCTTCCCGGTGTCTCACAAAATACATCTCTTCTGCAGTGGCATTCCTGGGAGACCCTCTGGCTTCTTTCTCTGTCAAGAAGGGGAAAGAGGCAGAGAGAGAGGAGGGGGCAGCAGGCGATGGAGAGTGGCAGCCCACTGTTGCAGCGCAGAGTGCGGGCCCCAGGTGGCGGTGGACCGCCGGCACCTCGGCTCCCTCTCTCTCAAGGCTGCTGCTCTTCATCTGGGGTGCGGCTGCGAGAGGCGGCCGTGGGGCACGGAGCCAGGGTCGGCTGCTGCTCCCAGCCTGGCTCCTGCTAGTAGCGTGACCTTGGGCAAGTCTACTTAAAGACGTCTCTAAGCCTCAGTTTCCTCATGTAAAACAGAAGTTTGCATTACATAAGGCCTTTCTGAGCTGGGGTTTTTTGGTTTTTGTCTTAAATAATTTAGTTATTTCTGCTGTGATGTGAAGCGACATTTCAGTGGGGAGGGTAGGGGCTTGTCCTGTGTGAGTGGAGGCTGTCAGGCGAAAGTATCGTGTGTAAGTTCGCAGTGTGGACCACTAAGCTTCTCTCTCTGTTCAAAGGGCTGCACAAAGATGTTCAGGGATAACTCTGCCATGAGAAAGCATCTGCACACCCACGGCCCCAGAGTCCACGTCTGTGCAGAGTGTGGCAAAGCTTTTGTGGAGAGCTCCAAACTAAAACGACACCAACTGGTTCATACTGGAGAGAAGCCCTTTCAGGTAGAGCCAGTTCCCTCTCCCCGCAGGTGTAAGCAAGGCGGCCGCCCAGAGAGGCCACTGCAGGGTCCCGCGGTGGGGTCCCCGGGACTCGGTCAGGGGCTGCCCTGGCTCTCGGCTCCACCGCTCGTATCTAGGTGGTACCAGAGATGGGATATAGCAAGTGCTTCTGGGGTGGACTTCATGTCTGGAGAAGCACAGCAGTGCTCAAGAGCGAGCCTGAAACAGCACTTCCTGTGTGTTGGGATTCAAGCCGTTTGCTTGGTGTGATTAATATATTTTTTGTAGAATATTGACAGGGAGCTTCTAAAATTTTCATATAGGAGAGTAACTTCTAAAGTAGTATTCTGCCTCGTTTTAGAAGCCCATGAACAAGTGAATGAATTAGCAATGCCACTAAATCTAGCATGTTCTTTTTGTTTTAATACTTGATATGAGAAGCCTTCCTAACCATTTGTCTCTTATGATTTGAAATATTTACAGAAGTGTTAGGACCCTCATGTAAGATTTAGGAAGATTTCTTGCTATATTGCTGAATGTTTCTCTTATGTTGTATTAAACAATTCATGAGGGCTATCCACGAGTCGTCCTAGGAGCTGTCCCTGCAGCCTTAGAGCTCCCTGCCCTATTTCTAGAATGTGTCTAGAAAGCTCCCCACCCCCCGGGGCAGGGCGGAAGGGATTGAAGTAGAAGTAGCAGGCTCCTCCCTGCAGCCTTGAGCTGCCCCCTTCCTGGCCCCACGAGTCTGAGCGGGTAATCTCTGGTTTTTCCTTGACAGTGCACGTTTGAAGGCTGCGGGAAACGCTTTTCACTGGACTTCAATTTGCGTACACATGTGCGAATCCATACCGGAGACAGGCCCTATGTGTGCCCCTTCGACGGTTGTAATAAGAAGTTTGCTCAGTCAACTAACCTGAAATCTCACATCTTAACACATGCTAAGGCCAAAAACAACCAGTGAGAAGAGAGAAGACCCTCCTCAGCCTCGGGAAGCATCTTCCAGGAGTGTGATTGGGAATAAACAAGCCTCTCCTTTGTATATTGTTTCTAGAAAAGAATTTTAAAAATGAATCCTACATACCCATGGGACATGTTTTGATAAAGTAGTAAAAATTAAAAAAAAAACTTTAATAAGATGACATTGCTAAGATGCTCTATCTTGCTCTGTAATCTCGTTTCAAAAACACGGTGTTTTTGTAAAGTGTGGTCCCAACAGGAGGACGATTCATGAACTTCACATCAAAAGACAATTCTTTATACAACAGTGCTAAAAATGGGACTTCTTTTCACATTCTTATAAATATGAAGCTCACCTGTTGCTTACAATTTTTTTAATTTTGTATTTTCCAAGTGTGCATATTGTACACTTTTTGGGGATATGCTTAGTAATGCTATGTGTGATTTTTCTGGAGGTTGATAACTTTGCTTGCAGTAGATTTTCTTTAAAAGAATGGGCAGTTACATGCATACTTCAAAAGTATTTTTCCTGTACAAAAAAAAAAGTTATATAGGTTTTGTTTGCTATCTTAATTTTGGTTGTATTCTTTGATGTTAACACATTTTGTATAATTGTATCGTATAGCTGTATTGAATCATGTAGTATCAAATATTAGATGTGATTTAATAGTGTTAATCAATTTAAACCCATTTTAGTCACTTTTTTTTTTCCGAAAAATACTGCCAGATGCTGATGTTCAGTGTAATTTCTTTGCCTGTTCAGTTACAGAAAGTGGTGCTCAGTCGTAGAACGTATTGTACCTTTTAACACCTGATGTGTACATCCCATGTAACAGAAAGGGCAACAATAAAATAGCAATCCTACAGAAAGAATATGGCAGAAAAAGATCTGTAAGCACAGTCTTATTTCCTTTTGTCCAGAATAATTACAGTTCTTGAGCCTCCCAGAAATTGGAAGCTAAATAAAGCAACTCAAGTTTCCTTTATTTTGCACTCAATTACAGTGACTTGTGATTAAAGCGATGCATGGATATTTTAATACTTCCGACATGTACTGAATTTTGAGAGTAGGTAACAGGCACCCCGAGTTAAGGAACTACCTCAGAGTACCCTGCACCGGGCCCACTGGTAACAGGATTTTGATTTTGGCTCCCCCAAGCAAACGCGTGACTGAAGCAATTGTGCCCCGGCCTGTGTGTGTTGTCTCAAGGTAAGGTGTCACCTGGCAGGGGGCACGAGCCAGAGGGTAGACAAGGCATTTCCGCTGCCCAGGCCGCCTTCAGCGGCTCCTGCAGGTCCTGGCTGGTCTAATAGGAAACGCTAAGGTTATTGGCTATTTGGTTGGAGAGCCTTGGTTCCTCCATCTAGTGGACTCTGCCAATGTTAGCACATTGTAGCAGTTGAACGCCAGTAGCTTCCTTCCTTCCTTCCGTGCTTCTAAATGGATAGTGCAGATTGGCAAGGTGATTTGGTTATTAAGAAAGCTGTACTCAATGAGTACTTGACCTCTCATGTTGTGACCTCTTAAATGTATGATTATAATTTTTGGGTTTTACTTAGAGTCAAATATCAGACTCGTGAGACTATTTTATAAACTGCCATGATACAGCAAAATCCCATTTATTCAAAATGCAAACATACTGTATGTCTTTGTGCTGCATGTTCGACGCTGCAGAGTAATCGACAGACTAGCTGATAGCAGTGGTTCAGGTACAAGACGTCCAGGACGCCATCAGGGCCAGAGCGCAGCCCTGTCTCTCAGCTTCTCCATCGGTCCTGGCCAGGAGGGTTGGTGACCTGATGACAGGGACCCTGTGGCCCTCCGGAATTCTGAAGTGCCTTCTGAATCATAAATGAAAATTTAACTTGAGACGCTTTTTTTTTTTTTTTTCATTTGTTCAGAATCTGTTATCCATTGAGTAGTTTGATGGAACTGAGTTAATCAGAAGACCCCAGCTGTTCTCTGGATAAGCCAGGCTTTGCTGTATCTGGCAGTCAGGAGAGAGGTAAGCCTGCGGTGGATGTCCCCTGCAAAGCTGAGGCGCCCCAGCGGGAACCTGTGCTGCTTTGCCTAGACCTGGGGCAGAGGCTCCACCGCTGCTCGGAGTCAGTGCCCGTGCGTCCCTCCCCACCATCGGGTCAGCAGCCCCCGAGGGGCTGTGTTAGGGGTCACGCCCTCACCCAGCGCTGTGCCACACTGGAGCCTGGTCCTGGCGTCATCCTCAGGACTCCTGCCCAAGGGCCCACGGCGAGACAAGACTCAGGCCGTGGGGAGATCTCCCAGCGGCCCCAAGAGCCATGCCATGACCCTGAGTTGGAGGGAGGTCCTTCTTCCTCTGTGCCTTGACCCCTTGGGGCTGCCTTCCGTCATCTCTCCTGTCCGTTTCTGTCTCTGAGTGGAATAGCCATTGCCCCCTTAACTCTTCTCCGTGTGTTCATGTGTTTTTCTCTCAAGCTGCAGTTAATTTCTGGAAGGAATTTCATTGGGCGTTGGAAGGAAGTTTAACGCCCAAGTTCCTCCTCAACATAGCACTCTCAGTGTACAACAGTAGTGTAGGACACGAGTGAGCGACAGCTTATAGAGGTGGTTCTCATTGGGCATAACTTAACACCCGTTCTGCTTGCGGTTAGAATTTATAATTTGGTAAAGATGTAATTTACTAAAATTTGAAATGGTGTTCTAACAGTCAGTTGTCTTGATTAATCTGATTTATAAGTAATACTGATACATATTTTCTTACATCTGAGCTGAAATAGATGCATGTTTCTAGCATATGTAATATAAAAACTTCAGAGGGTAAGTTTACATTTAACAAGATGTTGTTTTCTATTTTTGGATTTATATTGTTTTCCCCCCTTTTTTGGTGGTGGGGGTTTAGGGGGAAGCATAGTATTTGTATAAAGAACTGTCACCCCAGAGTGACATCTATTTTCCAAGGTGACCTTGAGCTCACTGGTGGTTTCATACGATGTTTGTGTGCTGTACGTAGATTCAAGGCCTGTGGATTTGACCCAAAAAAAAATTTTTTTTTTTCAATTTGGTTTTCATGTACATTCTTTTAAATGTCAATTATTTTGTTAAATTTGAGTAAAATGAAAACCATTGGGATACTCCGCTGGAGGCCTGCGGATGTTGCCGAGTTCTAGTTGGTTTCTCCGTAATAGATGAGAGTCCTTCATTCAGCAAGCGGCCTCCAGTAGACCGAGGCTGTTGAAGCGCTGTCAGTAGGTTTACTGCCGCCTGCACTTCTTAGCCAGACCTACCTACGTACGTTCACCTCGGGATGTGTGTCTGCGACACAGGAAGACCTGGCCCGCTCCGATTTTGAGTTGGAAACCTGGTAATCTACCCCAGGACAGCTACAGGCAGAGAACATGGATCGCTTCCTGTACCTTGATTCCTCTGATTTTGGGGTCAACGTGCTTAGCAAGGCCACACTATTAGTCCTCAGGTCCATCTTCTTGACATCTGACCACCAGCAGAAACAGGACCCCAGAGGTCAGAGCAGTGGTGAGAACTGAAACGGTTCCCTGGCGGCCTGTGTGCTGCCCACAAGGCCTCTGTCCACCGGGCGGCCTTCGCCTAGCCTCCCCGGCGCGTGTCGGACCGCAGAGCCCTTTGGCCTGGCTCCCCTTGACCTCGGTGCCACTGCAGCACCTGTCAGAGCTCAGGACCGCGGGGGTGCCCGCTTGACCCCAGGAGGTCACGGAGGAGGCTCAACCCCCGAGCTGTGCTTCCTGGAGGCCGTAGTCGTGCACTCCACGGTTTGCGCTTCCGCTTTCTAGAACTTGCCCTGGGAGCCTTCGCGCCTGCGCAGAAGCATTCGACGGCATAGCTGGCTGGGTCTGCACCCCAGCCTCCCAACCTTGATGCGCCTTGATTAACTGCCTGGACCGTGCGGACTGTGCGTGGGTTCCTGGGCTGCCTGAAGGCCGAGTCAGTGCGGGACCCTTAAGAGCCTAGGCAGCGGGAAGGAGGGGGCGGGCCTTCGTGAGTGGGCGTGTCCCGCGGGAGGCCGAGGCCAGAGTGGTCTCCGGAGTGCCTTGTCAGGAGAGGATGTTTGCTGGAGCTGGGGATGGTCGGAGAGCTGATGGGAGGGGCGGGCAGCACACCGAGGACACTCTTCATCCGCCCCCCTTCTCAAGAAAACCGGAAGGGAATGTTGAAGTAGAGCATGGGCGTTAGGTCAGGAGGCAAATCAAACTCCCCAGACTGGTCATCCCGGCCCTCATGTCCCTAGCCCTCATTCGGGGAGTCTGCAGGGGAGGTGAGCGTGGTGGCGTCACATCCATCTAAAGCAAAATGATTGATTTTTCTCAAAATGTCGTTTGATCAGATTGATTGCTTTTCATTCACTAAAGACCTTCAGACACCATAAGAAGCAGCATTGGGATGTCACAGGAAGGGGCCGGTTGCTGTGCTATGTTCCGTTTGCTGCTCTACCTGGGGGCTTGCTCACTGTCTGCATACAGTATGGAGGTGGAAAGGGCATCAGTACCAAACAGCTTTTTTCTACAACATCCATAACTGGTATGAGGCTTTGTTATCTACAGATGGTGATGGGTCAAGCTATCTTCATAAAACAATTCTGTTTTTATTCACTTTCCGGTAACTTCTGTGGGCCCTGGCTCAAGGACTTGGCATTGAGTCTCATGTACATCTTTTTCTTAAATGTTGTTTGCCATTTCTGGAATTGTCCTTGGTTTTTCCTTAGCTCATAGGTCATAGATGCAGAAATATTATAGTATTTAAGGCATCCGCATCAAGCATCAGATGGCTTTGCATCCAGAAAAACATTTAATGATAACTCACTTTGAAGCACCAAGCATGTGTAACATGGCTCTATAAAATATAATAAATGCATAATGTTGTTAAGCTTTTTAATGCCTGTGGTTTTTGTTTGTTTCTGGATCTCTAAGCCGCCTGTTACTGAGTTACATTACACAGTACAAGTGGCCATAAGCTCTCATCTTAACCACTGGAACACCAGGGAAGCCCCCTCA